AGTTTTCTAAGGTGGGTTTTGAGGTTCTTATGAAATTCAAGAGTTGGACAATGGGATAGTAGAGTGAGTGGCTGGACACATGATTGAAAGACAAGACTGAGGAGAAAGAGGGAAAGTTCAGAAGGGAAAAGGTAAAAAAAACAGCGGTTGTTTTTTCACATAGAAAGGTGGTTGACGTAACACTGTCTGCATCTGGGGAATGTAGCAGAGGCAAAGAGTCATAAAGTCTGGGGAAAGACCCATGCAACATTCTCAGAAGGATCAAATGCTCGTAGTTACTTAGCACACATCACTCTGAAAACTGCTACCCCAGACTTAACTGTTTCTCTTAAACTCTACTGGCAAATAATAGCACACACCTTTTACTGTATGCCTGGCCCATTCTGAGAGTGCTTTTCGTCTACTACCTGATTTAATCCTCATGACAGCCTGAGGAGAGAGGCGCTATTGCCTCATTCCCAGATGGGTGACGTGGGCGCGGCGAGATAGAGAGGTGGTAAGCGGTGGAGGTTCCCGCACAGCAGGGAGTGAGTGACGGACAGCGCCCGGGGCAGACAGCCTTGCCCTGGGGTGTCTGTGTAAAAGCCATCCAGTGACGTTCTCATGGCAATTACTAATGAAAGTCCCTGGCCTTCCACGCTGAGTCTCCTTGAATGTCTACCAACGATGCTTTTTAGGGAAGACAGTGTTTTCTTTTTTTTTAAACAAAAATTTCTCTATTCATAGTCAATTGTTTTCTGACAATTTTTATTGCAACTTTGTTTTCTCATCATAGCTGGTGGATTATCATAGAAACTTTTGTCCAGGTTCCTAGAGTTTTTCTGTTTTCAGTTTTACATGGTTTCCTTCTTTTCATGAGTCACATCTGACTTAAATGCACAGCTTTTACACAGTCCTAAGCCCCCACATTTACCTCTTTGCTTTCCCAAACCATCTCACTTCCTAGCTTTTTTTCAGAATGCCCTCCATAGTCTTTCAAACCATACAATCCCATTAAGCCTCATATGTATAAATTCCTCTTTTAGCTTTTACACAGTCCTAAGCCCCCACATTTACCTCTTTGCTTTCCCAAACCATCTCACTTCTTAGCTTTTTTTCAGAATGCCCTCCATAGTCTTTCAAACCATACAATCCCATTAAGCCTCATATGTATAAATTCCTCTTTTTCTGTAAAACCTCCTCATATCATTCCAGTCCACCATAATTTCATAATCTTTTAAATTCTATGACATTTATTATTTGGACATTTAGTAATTTATTAAATGTTCATTCATTCATTCATTCATTCATTACACCTTTGTGTAGCACCTTCTGTATGTCACTGGGTGATATGAAGATGAAAGAACTTAGACTAGTAAGGAAAAAAGACATAAAACAAGTCATCATCACTGTGTGATATGCACTGCATACTATGTTCCCAGCAAGGCCTCACGGCCCGATGTGTATAGAAGCCAGTACTATGGCACTAGTTTTTGAGAAAAGAAAAGGCTTTATTGCTAGGTCGACCTGCAAGGAGATGGGAGGCGAGGCTCAAATCCTTCTCCTTGAGCTGGGTAGCGTCTGGGCATGTTTTAAGGGGTCAGAAAGCAAGGAAGTTTCTCACTGGCAGAGTTTGATTGGTCAATGCACTGTATCCTCCTTATTGTAGGAACTCCTGCTTTGGAATTCGTTCCGATGGCTCTGTTTCTAGGTATTTGGTTCCACTGGTGGGGAATGCCATACCTGTAGTGCTCAAGGTCATTACCTTCCTCCCCTGTGCATGCTCTGTGGGCTTCCTGCAGAATATGCTGGTACCAAGAAGTGAGACCTGTTGAAACCAGTTATGCAGTTTCAATAGGAGTACATTGAGGACAATGCCAGCCTAAAGGAGAGAATGATCAGCTCCCTTTAGAGAAGTTAGAAAAAGTTTAAAAATAGAGAATTTAGCACAGGTAGCTGGGTCTTGAAGAATGACTAGGGGCTTGTTGGGTGAAAGATGGGGAGTAAGGAATTGGGAAGACAATTCCAGGTCAATTGTGAAGATATGAAGCCAGATACACCACGGCTGGGAACAGCATGTGACATTTCATGTACTAAGTACTTATTCATGTCTTGTATACAGTTGTAACATTTTGATGCCATTTTTTTCAGCTAGGTGGCAAGTTCCTTGACATTTAGCCAAGTGCGTACTACTTTATGTAGTAGACACTAATTTGAATGCTGGGATTGTTCCTGGGCAGTTTCCAAGCCAGGGGACAAGTGGACTAATGGGATCTGATGTGACCAATGTCAGTTTTGTGCTTTCCTAGACCAAGGATGCCCTCTTCACTATTCTCCATGACCTCCGACCCCAGGACCGGTTCAGTATCATTGGATTTTCCAACCGGATCAAAGTGTGGAAGGACCACTTGATATCAGTCACTCCTGACAATATCAGAGATGGCAAAGTCTACATTCACCACATGTCACCCACTGGAGGTAAAAATGATTCCTTCTTTTCACATTAGCTTTGGCATGATAATAGGCAAATTTTCTGCCAAGAGACAAAGATTTGAAAGCTGCAGCTGATTACAGGAAAGGAGGTAACAGGTGAGAGTTTTCCCAGAAGTTTATGTTTCTCTGAACACCAAATCTGTGAATTCTCCTGTCCCAGTCTCCAAACTAAGTTGGTCAAGTTATGGGGAAGTGACTGATAGGTGTTTGCAGGTTTTCACGGTTTATCTCACAGATCCTGAACAAGGAAGCTGTGTTCGTACATTGTTCTCGGGTGGAGAATTAAAGCCACATGGACGATCCCGTGTTTTTTGTGCTTGAATATTGCCACCTCAGGTAGAGGCAGGGGGAACTGTCCTGCTAAACAGGTTATCCTCTTGGCTAGGCTGTGGCGCAGTGAAGCATGAACCAGGTGGCCTGGGAGGTGCTGCAGATGTGAAATGTGATGGGGGCGAGGTGGGCTCTGTCCTGGGTGTGCTGCCCAGGTGAGTGTGCAGAATGTTAAGAGAGGAGAGAAAAGATCCTAAAGAGTTCTGAGAGGATCAGAGCATCAGAACAGTGTGTTACCCACCTGTGCTAAATGTGAGTTCCTTCAGCTCAGCACCTGAGTCTTACTCTTGCTGTTACCTGCGTCACTAGTGCAGCAGACCCATAAGAGGTGCTCAGTGTTTAGTGGAATTGAACCTCACCCCGCCACCTTTCTTAAAGGCATTTTACAGAGACACCATCTCCCAGAGTTGCCATCTCAGTTAATTCTGCTTTGGTCATCTGGAAACATACACACTTCCCTCTTTTCCCATCTGGGATTTTCCATCTTTCATATATTCATTATTTCCTATCCAAGACAAAACCCCAGTTTCCCAAATGAACTTCATTTGGAACTTGACCTTGCTTGGATGGTCTTTTGATTTACAGTGGAATTTTCTACCAGTCTCCAAAACTCTGTAATGTAGGAACTGTTTTATTGGTTGATGGGAGAAATAACAGACTAGATTTAATATTATCATGATGACTGATGGCAGGAAGATGACAAGACTGTAAAGTCCTTGAGGGAAGAGACTGCTCAGCATCTATGTGTAGCTCCTGGTTCCCGACATCAGAGCAGGCTCAATGAATATTTGTTAAATTGAATTTATTTTGCTGGTGCTGCTTGCTCTTAGAATGATGTGTATGTGTGTGTGTGACAGCCTTAGAAAACAGCTGATATATGTATTATGTTCTTTTGGAATCCAGACCTTAGAAACCCTGTTGGTTTCCTTTCTTTTTTCTCGACGCTTCATTGCCCTGACTCTGCAGGTGAATGGAAAATTAATCTGCTCCTTTCCAAGAAGTGTCAGTCAGAATTGGGAGCAATGAGCCTGAAAGCAGACCGCCTGGATTTGAATCCAGCTCCACCACCTACCAGCCATTTAACCTCCATATGCCTCAGGTTCCTCCTCTGTAAAACAGGAATAACAATTGAGTTGTTATTAGGATGAAATGAGCTAAAATATTTGAAGTGCCTAGAATGGTCCTGGAATGTAGGAAGGCCTCTTTTAGTGTCAGATGTGGCCATTATTTTTACTCACTTGACTAGACCCTCTTGCTGGTGCATGTGAGTCCTTTGATGACTCCTCATGAGCTCTCATGGATAGTTGGGGCAATTCTGGAGGACTCCCCCTGGGGAGAGCGCCTCACTGTTGTCAAGTGGGCGGGAGATGCTCCGGCATAACACAGGCTTGATTCCAAGCCCTGCAGTGCCTGCGGTGTCTGTGCGGTATCAGGAAAGCCAAATCCATCCCTTGCCTTGGCTCTCCTTGGCTTTAAATTGGAATGAGGGATTTGGCACCCTTGCTAAGTGCTAGATTAAAGAGAAAACAAACTCCTGCCAGTTGGTCCAGGCCCACACATCCAGAGGCAGCAGGAAATTAGACTGGGCACTAGGAAAAGCAAATTAATGATCCTAAAGAAGTGTTAAGTACTGTTTCAGCTGTACCTTTCCCTTACGTTTGGACTCTGTGGGCATCTCAGCAAGAATTAGGAATGTGTTTGTCATAGACATGGGCTTATCTATTATTTTAGCCAGGAAGTCCAGGACACATAAGGCAATGGGGGAAATTATCTGGTTCTCTCAAATGGGGTAAATTTTGCAGGGAGATAAAAAATCACTCTATGGCTGCTCAGCTCAGTTGGTGGGAGCAGGGTGCTGACAACACCAAGGTCCGGGGTTCAATCCTTGTACTGGCCAGCTGCCACCCAAAATAAAATAAAATAAAATAAAAAGTCTCGCTAGTCAGGGCTATGGATAGTGGTTATGGTAACAGAACTCTATAAATTTACTAAAAATAATGAATTGGACACTTAGCATTGGGTCCACTTTTGAATTGGGTGACTTTTTGTTATGTACATTTTACATTAAAAAACAGCAATGAAGGAAACAGGTGCCCAGGCTACAGTAAGAACTGCCTGTTTTCTGAGTCACAGTGGAACAGCGGAAGCTCAGTTGAATGAGATTCTTAGCTGATCCAGGAACCTCATTTTAGCTGGCGGTTTCAACCTTAACCAATCACCCACCCATCTCTGCATCTACCAGGCCAACACTGCAGACACCGGCCCACACATTTAATCAGACCTGCTGTGGACAAGTGCCTCTAAAGGAGAAATGGCAAGGTCAGGGGGTGTAAACTTTGATGCCTCCTCCTTTTGTGGGGTCTGCAGAGCAGAGGTAACCCCAGAGGGGCAGGAGGCAAGGAAAGGAGAGACAATCAGCACCATCCAGGCCTGGACAGCGTTGAAGCTGGCTGGGATGGTCTCTGGTCGCCCCCCGCCCCCAACCTCCTCATTCTGTGTGCCCTTCTTCCCTCTGGGACTCTTTCTACCTCCAAATTCCTGCACCGAACATTCTCCTGCTCTTTTCAAAGCTGTTTTCAGAAAAGGGTATAGAAACCATTCATGGTGAGGCAGTGAAGGTTTCTAAGTTAAGGTATTATCAGAAACCTTTGGGAGAAGGTTTTTACAGTGGGATAATCCCATGTCACTTACTTAGCTGGAGTCCCCTGTTTGAGCAGGGGGGCTTCTTTTCCCACATGTCTCCCTTCTGCAAGTGCGTGACCGGTGGGGAGCCGCCACAGCCATGAGTGCACATTCAGGGCCAGAGGTGAGTGCCAGGGTCTGAGCTGTCCTGTGTTGTTGTCCTCCAGGCACAGACATTGATGGGGCCCTCCAGAGGGCCATCGCGCTGCTCAACAACTACGTGGCCCACAATGACATTGAGGACCGGAGCGTGTCCCTCATCATCTTCCTGACAGATGGGAAACCCACCGTCGGCGAGACCCACACCCCCAAGATTATCAACAACACCAGGGAGGCCGCCCGAGGTCAAGTCTGCATCTTCACCATCGGCATTGGGAATGACGTGGATTTCAAGCTGCTGGAGAAACTGTCGCTGGAGAACTGTGGACTCACACGGCGCATTCATGAGGAGGAGGATGCGGGCTCACAGCTCATCGGGTCTGTTATCTGTCTTCTCCAGCACAGTGAGAGGCTTTCAAGGGGGTTGAAGGTTGGATTCAGTGAGAAACCCAGAGATGAGGATGTTTTGTGACACCTTAACCTCACATCTGCTGGAAATAAATGATTATAACTCATTGCACAGGGAGACGTCATAATGTGATTGGAAACCAGGCAGATCAGGGTCAAAGTCTGGTCCTGCTTTGTGACTTTAGGCAAGATGTTAAGATTGCCTGTGCCTTAGTTTCCTCATCTATAAAATGAGCATTATGGTCAGTTGACAGAATTTAATGAGAAAACCCATGTAAAGTAATGGCACAACAGCTGTCACACGTTAGGTATTCAACGAGCTCTTGTGGTTATAATCACCTTCTTGGGGGCCAGCCCAGTGGTGCACTGCTACAGTGCGCCGCTTGGGAGTGCGGTGGCACTCCCACCGAGGGTTCGGATCTCACATACAGACCGGTTCCCGCTCACTGGCTGAGCGAGGTGTGGGCGCAGCACTGAGGGTTGCGATCCCGTTGCCGGTCCCGGTCCGGTACAGGCGCGACACTGAGGGTTGCGATCCGTTGCTGGACATGAAAAAAAAGACAAAAAGGAAAAAAAAAAAAGAATAATCACCTTCTTGGTACTTACAATTGCACTTTCTGGTATGTTTACTCTTATTCTACGAGGGAGGTAGAGGAATCAGTGTTATCTCCATTCTGAGTACTAGTTAAATGATTGTAGTTCTATTTTGAAGCAAATGACCAGTTAAAACTGGTGAATAATGAGATTTTTGTTTTGAGGTGGAGAAGAAACCAGAACTTAGGCCTTCTAACACAGAGGAACCTTCCCTCAGGTGTCATGTTGCCAAACACCATGTATGACTTTGCTGTTGATTCAATGAAGTGCCAACTCCTGGTTTAGCATTAAATGCTTTAATCTGAATTATGACATGTATTGTATGTACTTAAATGGAAAAGTGAGGCTTAGGAAAATTTACAGGTGTTTAATAGCCATAATAAAAGAACATCCATTCATGATAAATCTAATTGGAAGTCTCTAAGGTGCACAATAAAGAGAGGTCCTTGGTATGGGACTAGCCACCATTTTTCCACCAGCATTTTTATGAAAGATTTAAATGAAAACAAAGATTGGCTTACCACATTTTAAAAATTATTTAAAACTAGTTTCAAAGAGGGAGAACCCAATGCTCTGTACAGCAGAATTGAGATTCAATAGGTGTTCATAAGCAAAAGCAGTTATATTGAAACAAATCACCTGCACTCTCATACTACTAAAAATGTGATCAATACCTGACATTTACTGAGAATTTACAATATGCCAGGCATTTCTACATGCATTAGCTCATGTGATCCTCACAAAAACCCTAAGAGGCAGGTGTATAAGCTGCCATGCAGAGATGACAAAATGCAAAGGCTGAGATAAGAGAGCCTTTCCAGTCTCTCTCCTTTAATAGCCTAATGTTTGGGACAGGCTAGATTCTGCTCCACAAAGTCATTCAGAAACCCAGGTTCCTTCCATTTTATTGCTCTGCTCTCCTTAGGTGTTGTCCTTAATGGCAAGGTTGAAATTAGGTCACTATCTCTTCTGTTTTCCAGCCCCCAAAAGGGGGAAAAGACAGAAAGCCAGCAGAAGCCATTTTATCTTAAACAAGGGTTGTGGAAGTTGCATTCATGATTTCTGCTCATGTTCTATTGCTGCAAACATAGTCGGGTGGCCATTTCTGGCCATAATAGAGGCTAGGAAATGTCATTCATAGTGAGATTGGCATGCTCCCAATTAGAACTCAATTATCATGAAAGGAGGGGAGAATGGACTTGGGAGGACAGCTCGTAGTCTACCAAAGTAGTACTGTTAACATCCCAATTTTATAGATGAAGAAACTGAAGTTCAGAGAGGTTAAGTCACATATTCCAAGACACACAGTAAGGAAGTGGCTGACCAAGAAGTCGAAATTCACAGCCTATGCTCTTTAGACCTTTGGAAAGGAGATTTTTACTGCCTCTTTACTTAGCAAGAAGCAACCATGTAGCATAACTACAAGAAAAGCTAATGCGGCCAAATGCCAGATCACACAAAAGCATGGTGTGAAAGTCAAGGTCAGACTTCATAAGTGTAATGTGCTGCTTAAAGCGTGTCTGGAATATGTACTTGGCTCTGAGAAAAATGTTTTAAGAGACCCTTTGAGAAACATAGGTGTGTACAAAGGAAATTTACCAAGGGTGGTTGGGGGGGGGGTCTTGAAATTGTATCACATGAAGAATAGTTCACGAAACTGGGGATTGATTAGGCTGCTTTAAAAAAGTCTTCTAGGAATGCAACAGTGTTTTTTAAAGCATCTAAATGTCAGTCATGTTGAAGATGGATTAGACTAATTCTGTGTTGCTTCAGAAGCAAAACTGAGACCAGTGGGTGGGAATTTGAGCAAGGAAGATTTTAATCTACTGTAAGGAGGTTCTTCCTCATCATCAGAGTAGTTGAAAAAGATGCTTGGAAGCCTTGGAGACAGGGAGTGCTCTTTTACTGGGTCTGTTCAGTCAATGGCTGAATCACCTTCTGTTAGAGATATTGTGCTGGGTAGGGTTGGACTGGATCACTTCTGAAGTCAGACCCCATGGAGAGTCCGTAATTTCCTTTGGGAATGTCCTGCAGCCAGGCAGGGTCCTGACTCCCTCTCTGTTCTTCCACTGCAGGTTCTACGATGAGATCAGGACCCCTCTCCTCTCTGACATCCGCATCGATTATCCACCCAGCTCAGTGGAGCATGCCACCAAAACTCTGTTCCCCAACTACTTTAATGGCTCAGAAATCATCATTGCAGGGAAGCTGGTGGACAGGAAGTTGGATCAACTGCATGTGGAGGTCACCGCTAGCAACAGCAAGAAATTCATTATCCTGAAGACAGATGTGCCTGTGGAGCCCCAGAAGCAGGGGAGTGACATCCCAGGAAGCTCTAGTCCCAAAGGTAATGGGGAGGAGGACCGCAACCACATTGAGCGTCTCTGGAGCTACCTCACTGTGAAGGAACTGCTGAGCTCCTGGCTGTGGAGTGCTGACGAGCAGGAGAAGGAGCGGCTGAGGCAGCAGGCCCAGGCTCTGGCGCTGAGCTATCACTTCCTCACCCCCCTCACCGCCATGAAGCTGAAGAAGTTGGTGTCTCCCACAGACAGACTGGAGGATGCCTATGGCATGTCTGCAGCGATGGGACCCGAAATGGTGATGCAGAGCTTGCGGGGAGGCAGCTCCCAGCCAGGTAAGGACCCCCCAGAGATGGCTGATGGTGAGGAGCTTTGGGCCTAAATGCCTGTTTGAGCTCCTGGTAGGGCCAAGGTAACCTCACAGCAGGGGTCTGTTTCATTTTATCATGTTATGACTTTTATTTATTTTTTTCGTTAAATTTTTTATTTTGTCAATATACAATGTATATGATTCTTATGGCCCATCACCGACACCTCCCTC